TGGGGGGGGGGGGGGCTGAACCCTTGGGTGTTGCGGAAGATCACAGCCTTGAACCTATAGCGTATCTGACTTGGATATTCCGAGGATAACGGTCGGTGACATATCAGTGCCACCACATGCAGGGTATCAAGAACGTGTTGACTGGTCAATGGAATGCTTCAAAGACTGCTTGGGACGTAACAACACGATGGGGGTATTTCCATAACGGCAGACTAAGTGGGTCACGCGGTTATTGGCACGGCTAACCAAGTCAAAGGGACGAAGGGAAAAAGTCACGCATACCGCAGCACACGCGTACAGGAGCAAATCATCAATCAAGCAAAGGACCCCTTCTTCGAGACTTACCCGCCGGACACGGACCCGAGCACGCGTCGTCGTGCAACCCCTCTCGTTCGCCAAATGTCCCCGCTGGGCACAGTGTTGCCAGCCCCTGCCGACAGTACCGCCCTTTCGGGCAAACCGCTTGTTCGATCCTCCCCGAGGCGGATGTCCCTCCGACTGCGTAGTTCCCGTGAGACACGACAATTGGCGTCGAGCTGCCAGCGGGGCAGTAAACGGAGTTGTTTCCGCAGGGGGCCGGGCTGACGGCAATGGGGCGAGGTGGGGCGGCACATTCGCAAAAACTGATGTCGTCGGAAAGGGGGTAGAAGATTTTTCGTAGGGGACAAGAAACCATGTCAGGGCCCGTAGGACTGCGTATAGCCGCCGATGGAAGAGCATCAAGTCGTCAACGGATGCGAAACCTCATGCGAAGGACTACATGAATGAATGGGACGTGTACGGGAAGAATAACGAAGATGGTGTGCCTGCCTTGCAACCTGCTAATAAATGGAAGTACGATTCCCGGAAGGATCTTGAACCACTTGGACTATGCGTTTTTGTCTACAGCAGTCGATGTATATGTAGACTGCATGTACAACCTTCTCGTTTCGGTTTCGCATGCCTCTCGCCTCATCTCTCGTGCAGGATATTCCTCACAGTGACATTCTGCATCAACGCGTCAAAGCGGTTTTCGCCTCCTGGCGTGTTGTGTACACGCAAAGTGATGCTTGCTTGCCATCCATCGCGGGTGAGGTCTTGTTCCACCCCCCCCGTCTCATTTGTATGTCGGCCGGTCTCGACGACGCTTTTGTATAAGTAATCGGCTCCCCAAACTGTCCTCCCTATCTAGTCTACTGGTCGTATGACTTCCTCCTCTACTGTTGTTGAGTTGAGCGTCCCCTCTCAACCGCCGTCTGCTTCCTCGTGCTACTCCCCCTTCTCCTCATCATGTTTAGACTACATATATATGTACATATATCCCTGTCGGAGCCATCTCCGTCGACTCGTTCCCACAAAGTAATCGTGGGCAGTCCTTCATCGACGCTTCTTCCCGTGTGCACAGACATCGGCCCCGCTGTGAGTCTTTCCAACCATTACCTCCCCACCGCTCTGCCACCTACTGCTTAGGCCTGAAACCTAGTTGACCCAGTTCTGCTTAACTTTTGATGTGTCATCGACACTGCTGTCAATGATCTTGACCAGAGTCTTGCAACAAGAGTAGTGGATCGATCATGTTCTCGTCGGTGAGGCTACCCGTGCATCGCATGCACACACCATACCTGCATCGTTGTACTGTAGTAGGCACACTACTTGATGTATTTCAGCCACCGCCTCTGTCAACGTGCGTTCGGAAGGACAGCAACTATGTACATAGAGAAATACATACCATGGTGTGCGAAGAATTTACCAGCGGTAGGGAACTCCGGCCAGTGACTACATTTTGGGTGTGCGAGCATTGGGTGTAGATGTGTGCATGCACACCCACGTGCTGTCGCACAGCATGCATGCATCAATATTTTCAGTACAAGTCTACAGCAGTAACGGACTACAAGAGTTTCCTGAGGGGTCGCCCAGCCGTGGCGTATGTAGTGTATCCTGCTGCAGATGATGATGTGCAGTATCTGTCGGTCGAAATAATCTCCTACTGCCACCCTCTGACCTCGAGCTCCCCTCTGGGCAAAAGGATCCCGCGGGGCAGAGGCCCGAGCACAAGAAGCTCGTCTCTTCCGTAGAAGAGCCGAACCTGCCGGGTGCGCATGGCAACTTGACCCCGTTCGTGCAGAAGTGCCCTTGCTCACAGCCGGAGGAGCTCTGGGTCAAGAACACAGCAGGCACAGCACGAGGGACTGCTAGCATGTGGTTTCGTGTTGGCGACATGGACGGGAGCAATCACGCACATTGTCCATTGCCAACGTATATCCTTCCAAGATCCCTGTCATCAGACCCGGGTACATTCCAGTACTACTACGTATGAAGTACAGTATGTACCGCCGCTCGATCGCGGCGGGTATATCTCACACGGCGGGCTGCACTCACCGTAAACATTGGTTGTGCGGCAGCAAGAAGTGGTGTGATGGCCAGAGGCATCAGCAGGAAAGCTAGACGTAGCACGACTTCGCCACCAGTCGCCATGGTTGCGAGCGGCAAGGGTCGCGAGTTTCCATCCGTTATCCACGTGTGCGCAGACAGATACGCAACACGTTGGCGATGAGCGGTCTAACTATAGTAAATGCGACACAAATGATATGATAAATAAATATTAGTCGGTTCTCTTAGCGATGTCGGCCACCGAGTTCCTCCTCCCCACCCCCCCCCCCCCCCCGCCCAGTTTTTTCTATTTCAAGTAAAAATCTAAAGATTCGCATTTTAAAAGGCTCTATCTCTCTCCACATCCCTCTCTCTCGCGTCTCTCTGTCTCCACTCCCCTTCCAACGCAGCAAAGCTATACAACAAACACCCGTCCCATCTACCCGCTCCAATTTCCAAAGCGACAACCGCGCACACAGAGGTCGTGAGAGACTTTCCTCTGCCCGGCTGCAGCCTGCGCCTGGATGCGGCATGCAGCAGCAGCAGCAGCAGCAGCAGCAGCAGCACAAGCAGGACACACCTGTGAGTGAAACGCCGTCGGCGGCAGCATGCGTACCGCAAGAACGTAGGGCACAGCAGCAGACGGGGGAGGGAGGGCAACAACAACGAGCGCAAGAGGAACAGCGGCCGCGTCAGCAGCAGCATGTACAGAAGAACGAGGAGCACGTAGCGCGTGTCTCTGCCGGTGCGACGGGAGCATCGGGTGAGGACGGGGAGGGCACGAGGCGGCGTTCGGCATGCGACAGCTGCTCGTTGAAAAAGATCAAGGTACAGCAACGGCAATGTTGTTTTTGCTTGGTATGGTCCCACACACCCAGAGAGAGAGTCAGACAGCAGACATGTGAAAATTGCAATGCGTGAGGCTTTGTCGAGCTCGAAAGTTCCATCACGTATTCTGTTTTTTTTTTGTATGATCTCTACATGGGTGGAGATTCTGCTCTCATTTGTTTCTTTCATTTGAAGATTCGTGCTGGTTGCGGGCAGCTCGCCACGTGCCGAGCGCTGTTTCAGCTTGTCTTTCCCAGCCACGAGTCTGGCAGGGAAGGGCGGATGATTGAGCAGAGCTTGTTGGTGGCCTGAGGCGAGATCAGCCGCCGTCTCCGCTGTTTTTCGTCTTGACGCGAATGTGTGCATACAAGACACAGAACATTCCGACCTCCAACATACATATCATATCTGCGCTCCGCCCGACCACTCTCTCTTCAGCACGGAAAAAATTTTCCCGTGGCCACAGGCTCTTTCTCTCTGCTTGTGTGTTGTTGTATTGGTTGTTCGTCATGATGCGTCGGCGACTTTTTGCGGCCTTTTTTTTTCTCGTTTACCGTATCCTTTGTGACGACGGAGAATACGGCTGACCGCCCTCAAGAGCAGAAAACAGACGAGGAGCCAGGTCAAAACGACAACAGCAGTCGGCATGTTATTGAAGCGCCAAAGAGCCACAGCGAGGAACGACGAGCCGGGAGGGGAGAAAGTCTCGCCACAACTCTTGCGCGTTTCCTCTTGCAGATGGACTTTCGATCAGAAATATTTTTTTGATCGAGATATCGAGTTTTTCGAAGCAAGTCATTTTTGCCTGCACGCAGTCGTCATCGACGAGACGAGTTTAAGGGCGTAGTGGAAGAGTATTAGACTACTACTGTAGGTGGGAGGACGGGCGGGACCACATGCGTATTTGGTGGCAAGCACAACAAGAACAAAAATATTTTTTTGGCGAGCGCACCCAGAACAAAAAACATACGTGTCTCGCTATCAGAGCTACATCATGGTATCTATCAGCTGGTTATTGATTGAGCAAGAGCCAGTAACTTGAAGCGAATAATGCTCTAGGAGGAGACCTCCTTTCCTTATCTCAAACTCGAAGCTTAGGCATAACCAACGTACAATCAAGATCCTACCACGTGCAAAGAGAGCGTGTTTTTGAGAAGGGTACACCGGCAATAATACCAGCAGAGGAGCGACGGGGTATCCATGGATGGACACCCCGCACGAATCTGGGGATCGGTCGTATTTTTGTATTGCGCTGAAATAAAGGCCGACGACATTCCGCGCCGCCCTTGGGGTTGGAGAAGCGCCTTCCACGCAACGAATAAGGCACGTGTGGTTGTTGGGTCCTTTTGTGTTGGCCTCTTTGTACAACCCTGGGGTGCATACACTTCAAGCATGTCATCCGGAAGGTTCCGAGTCGGTGGTTGGACCTGTCTGCGGATGCTCAGGAAGGGTGTGCACTGAATACAAGAGATCGGAACTGTTTTTTGGCGTGAAATTGAAACAGCAGTACCCACAGGAGGAACGCTCTCGCCGGCTCATGGATCATGATGGTACCGGCGCGAGATGTCTCTTGGTGTGGATTCGTCACCAACAGCAAAACACGTAACACGCACCTTACGCCAATTTTTTTCGTGGGGGGGGGGGGGGGGGGGGGGGGGGG